TATGCACCCAAAAGAAGTACAAGAGTTCGGATCCTGCTGGGAACACAGCTCAGTGACAGGAGACTGCCACGGCATCTCTAAAGCCTGCTTCAATCTCCAGAACAACAATATATAAATTAAAAGCATGCATCTATTTAGTTTTACATTATAAATCCATAATAAAATTATTTGTGCTTATAAGAAGCAAAGAACATATTCTCAAATCCATAGATTTGAGACTCATGAGAGATTTCTCCAGAACTGAGATTTGTCAATATTCTGTTTCTACAACAGAAGAAAAATGTGGACTTGGATGATGTCATTGAGTGGTGGGTACTGAGTGACTGCACTAGGATGGCCTTGGATGATGTCATTGAGTGGTGGGTACTGAGTGACTGCACTAGTCTGGACTCTTTGGTGCAAACACACACAGGCACTTCACTCCCTCAGCTGAGATGGCCAAACTTCTTAGCAAGCCCGAGTGCCCAGACGGTGGCTCTAGCAGAATTAGCTCATAAATAGGAAGAAAAGATTTCCGCAGAGAAATAGCTGATTCTAGAATGGGGACAGGAAATGTGCAAAATTAGCCTGGACCACCTTATAGTGCCAGGACAGGAGCAAGTGCTAAGAACCAAACCACAATGGCACGGGCATGTGAAAGGAGCATCAGGCCAACTGAATGAGCTCACAGTGGCCAAAACTGCAACAATCTGAGCAACACACTAAAGGAAGAGGCACTGAACTGTCATCCCAGGATAAAATAAATACCATGGGTCAATACTGGTGCAAACAAATGATTAAATTAATTAATAAATAAAGGAGAAAGAATATGGGAAACATCCCCATAACTATTGTAGAAGGTCTGTGCTGAAGGAAGATAATCATCATCAACACTTCTCAGGGGTGCTGCATGTAGAAACTTTAAAGAGGCAGAACATAGAAAGAATGGATGGTGCAATTTTACTTTGGAGAAATCTGTCAAGTGCTATCTCAGCCAGAAGATCAAGGTCAACATCAAAATGACAAATTATGTTAACATCTACTGTTGATAGAACGCAATGGAAGTTATACTTTATGGATGTTCCTCCAAGTCACCATAATCTGAGCTGCTGGTAAGACAGATTTTAGCAATGAGGCATCCCTGTGCCACGTCTGATTAGTACTCCTGAAATTATCAAGTTCTTAGACACTGCAGATCATCACTGACCTGTGTCTTTCTTGAAAAGCATTCACCTTTTTCTATCTCATGCCCTCAGCAGTTAGCAAATGGCAGCCATTTCACAGTTGCTGTTAATGACACTGAAGTATTGAAATTTTTTCCATAAAAGAAAGTTTCTCTAACTCAGTAAATTGTGACTCTTAGCTGACCTTCAGCAACTGTCCTTCCAGCTCAGAATCTGGTCATTATTGTACAAAAATACGTTTTAGGTATTCTCAAGATTCTTAAACAAGTTAAAGAAAGACCAAGAGCAGAGAACAAATCTAAGACCAAAGGGAAGTGCTGAAAGTATTGTCTGGTTTGAGCTGGTTGTCTTACTTGAACTGGACAAAGGACTTGAAGCCGTGGCTTTGAAAGGGGTTATTTACTGCAGTTGGTACTGTGTGGGCATTGTATACAACCTGAGCAAGTGATGTGTACTTGGAATGGAAAAGAGGTTTCACAGAGAGGCAGGGTAACATTACTGCCAACAAATTCCTGTCAGATTGGAGCAGGGTGATCTGAAGGTACATATTCCCCAGCCCCAGCCTCGGTGCCCAGATCTGTGAAGTCTCAGCAGTAAATTGTCAGGAGGCTTGGATGAGAACATGTAAAATGCTTGCCACGTAATACAAACTCTGGAATGACTAATACTTACTTATAATTTTTGAAGTAGAGTCTCACTATATAGCTCAATTTGGCCTCAAACTTGTGGTCCTCTGCCTCAATCGCCCAAGTGTTAGCATTACAAGTGTGTTCCACCATGCCCAGCCTAAAAATGTACTTCTAACAACTTAAAGTAGTTTTGAAATTGAATGACTAGACTATGATTTCCCCAGATGCCGATAAAGGAGGAATAGAATCAACTATTAGAAAAGGGGCTAAAAACAGGGATGTTGGTGTAGACTATGAGTAGTAGTGAAAATTACCCTGCCGGAGTAAGTACTAATCCTGGATCTGTCAACAACTTTATCTAAATTTATCTGTGAACAAAATTATGTAAAGCAAGAGTTTGAAGTAGGTAGATAACCAGGTGACTTGAAGCTAGCCACCATATTCATAGCCATGGAGCTTTAGGGATATTATGGCAGGAGAAAGTTATCTTCTAAGCAATGTCCCACCTCCAACAGCTGGATGGTATTGATATACCTATGTGTGGTGTATATATGTGTGATGGGGACAAGGAGGGAAGGCAGGGACAGGAAAGAGATATTTCCTAACCATTCATTTCCTAAACAATGCTATGAGAACTGGTGTTATTGTTATTTTATAAACAAGTACACTCAAAGAATGAGTTGAAATAAAATTCAACCCAATCTGTACTACTCTTGCTCTTTGTGATAGGAAGCCAACTTCTGTATTAGCAAAAACATAAGCACATGTAATATACACATGTCTGCACCCTCTGCAGGCCATTACATGTAGGCAAATCCTCCTCACAGCATTGACTTAAGTTGCAGAATGTCAAGGGTGCATATGCTGTTACATTACAGACGTGCTGTGGGGAACATCAAGTGCCTGAAGCTTACCAAGGACTATTAAGTGGTAGCAAATCCTCTGTCAGATAATTGCCTTTGAGCCTAAAGGGACAGTTAAAGAAACAATATCATGGTAGTATTATTTTCATCAGACAAAGTGGATTCTAAAATTTCATAATGTGTAAATTTGGTGCTGCTGTTTGGGAAGCAAAGAAACTTTACAGTCAAGTGCCTTGTATGAAGGATAATTGCTTCAAGAATGTTAGTTAGAATTCTCAGTGGGGTAGACTGTAGATTTTCCACAGCAAGGCAGACTTGCTTTTCCACCATGAAATGAACCGGTGCTCAGTAAGCCTGTAACCCATGCACCAGGCTCCTGCAATAGTATTTCCAATATCCAAGTTCACTGCAATCCACTGCAAGGTGTCACTTTCCAAGTCTACATTACAGTGTAGTCTCCCACCATTGTTTAACTAGAGGACCTTTGTTCATTCATGAGTGGACTGTCCCTTCCCCCCCTCCAACCTGTCACCTCATTTTTTCCACTGCTTCTCCCTGCTTGGTACTACACATTCCCCCTTCTCTCTCACCTGAAACAAATAGTAACCTTCTAAATGAAAGGCTTCTTTCCCCTTACATTAAGGTCAGCTTGTGGGATGAGCGCTCTCTCTCTCTCTCTCTCTCTCTCTCTCTCTCTCTCTCTCTCTCTCTCTCTCTCTCTCTCTCTCTCTCTCTCTCTCTCTCTCTCTCTTTGTTCTTTCCATTTCCCATCCATGATCAACCCTGTCTTTCCCCCTCCCGTTTACTCTCCCACAAACATACTCCACTGAGTGCTTTTACTACCTTAGATGGTCTCTTAGTTTCTTTAGCCTAGGGATGTCTATGTCAGTGTCTACTTTAATGTACCTGTAGTCATTGACACTCTGTAATATCTCCTTATAGCTTTCTAGAACTTTTTGGGGTTCACTCCCCTGGCTCTCCTCCCATCTGACCATGCTTCTTTATATCCTTTAGCCCTTAAATGTTAAGGTTCCTCCTGTGGTTGCACAGAATGAACCCTTTTGCATACTGTCTTAGATAGGGTTTCTATTGCTGTGATAGGGTAGGAAAGTGTTTATTTGGCTTGCATATCCTGAATCTCTGTCCACGAGAGAAGCCGAGGCAGGATCTCAAACTTAGCAGGAACCTGGAGGCAGGAACTGATGCAGAAGTGCTGCTTACTGGTTTGCTCAGCCTACTTTCTTATGGAACCCAGTAAGTACCACCAGCCCAGCTGTGGTCCTCCCACACCAATCAGTATGTAACAAAATGTCCTACAGGCTTGCCTACAGCCCAATCTTATGGCTGCATTTTCTCAACTGAGGTTCCCTCTCAGATGACTATAGCTTGTGTCAAGTGGACATAAAACTAGCCTGCACACATACTCTCTAGGAAGTGATCTTAATCCTCTCAGGGCTTTGGCTTTTAGCTTTAAACTGCCTTCTCCCCGCCTCTAGCTATCTTTAGGTTGCATTTCTGAGGTTTTCTAGCTCTTTCTTGGTTATCTCTTGCATACCTTAAACTCATTCTGTCCAGAATATCTACATATACTGCAAATGTCTTCTTCCCCTCACTGTCTCTTCTCAACCAAGAACTCCCCAATCTACTCATGGTCCTAAACACTAAAAACAGCATAACACACAGATTAAAAAATAGTGTCCTTGAAGCAGACTGCCTGAGTTTGGTTCTCAGCTGTCCCATTTGTTATCTATAGCTGCTATCATGGACTACATTTACATCCATCTGGGTCTCTGGTTCCTCATCTAGAAAATTGAGACAACAATAGTACCAACATTACAGTGATGTTATGGAGACCAGATAAAATAAATTTTGTAAAGCAACACATTCTATAGGTGTGTATTTACCTCTTCTTCCATTTTAATATTAAATACATAGACCAAAACACTCCCTATAGTTGAAAAGCATGCAGTATCCACCATTGTCCTTAATGCCCAAGCTCCTCCCTTTATACATCATGACCTAGCAGAGGCAACCTTGGGCCTACCTCAGTGATCCATTCTGTGTGTGTGTGTGTGTGTGTGTGTGTGTGTGTGTGTGTGTGTGTGTGTGTGTCTATTTCTATGTGTGTCTGTATGTGTGTGTTATCTCAAATGTTCTTTCTTCTACCTTAAAAAACTCTGTCCTCCAGGTCTCAGCCCTTTACATCAAAAACTCCACTCATTCTTCAAATTTCAGCTTGAATATCATCTCCCAGGGAGTCTGATCTGTGGACTTCTTCAGGGCTCAACTACAAATCACCATACCACCCAGTTAAATGTTTCTCTAATGCTTGAGTATTATTCCAGATGCAGCTATATGATAGACAATGTAATTCTACTGATGAATGGGGCATTGCAAAAGAAATCTGTGAAAGAAGTTCTAGCCAAGTGTCACCCATTGGGCCGTTTCACAGAGATGGAAGCAGTCAACATTGCAGAGACCACCTCAGATCTCTTCAAAGCTGTGCTGGTTGAAACACCATTAGGTATGAACACTTATGTGTAGAATGGCCTGTGCATGTTAGCACAGTCATTAGAAAATGTACCTTCAATATGAAACATTTTTGTGAATTTTTATACTATACAGATCCATCGTTTTGTACAGGACATCTAAGCTGAGCATGATGGCACACACACACACATACATACACACACACACACACACACACATCTGTGGAAGGCTAAGGCGGGGGTTGGCAAGCCTGAGGTTGGTTTGGTTACACAGAGAGACCCTGCTTCATAAAAACAAACAGCACCTAACGAATCATCCAGGCCTGGGGGGATAGCTCAGTCGGTGAGGCACTTGTCTTGCAAACATAAGAACTTGAGCTTGAGCCATAGCTTCTGAAAAAGAAGAAGAAGAAGAAGAAGAAGAAGAAGAAGAAGAAGAAGAAGAAGAAGAAGAAGAAGAAGAAGCAGCAGCAGCAGCGGCGGGGGGGGGGGGGGGGGGGGCAAGTGTTGTGGCACACTCTTCTAATCCCAGCACTGGATGGGACTTGATGGACCACTAACCTAGCCTATTTGGCAAGCTCCAGGCCAGTGAGAGAGACTGTATCTCAAAACACAAGGTAGACGGCTCTTAAGGAATGGCACCTAAACTGTCCTCTGACTTATGCTTGTGTGCACACACATGTGTAGCTAAAGTTTTCCTGCCTGGCCCACAGTCAGGACAAATCTCTCTCACCCGCCAGTCCCAAGCCGCTCAAACCCGATCAAGTAAACACAGAGACTTATATTGGTTACAAACTGTATGGCCGTGACAGGCTTCTTGCTAACTGTTCTTACAGCTTAAATTAATCCATTTCTATTAATCTATACCTTGCCACGTGGCTTGTGGCTTATCGGTACTTTACATCTTCCTTGGTATATTTGGGAATTTGGGCGTAGCTTCTCTTACTACTTCCTGCTGGAGGGGGGGCGCTGTATCTTATGGGGAAACAAAGAATATTTTAGGATTATGGAATAATCCATGAGAGTGTATTGTCTGAGCCAGTTGCCTGAAACCATTCTGGATGTTGGATCATCTGGGCCATGGTGTCATCAGAGACCTTTCAGGGGGTCTTGGCTGTTCAAACCTGGTGTATCTTAATCTGGAACAAATCCATAGCCTCTGGCTTTCTGTGGAAACAAAAGCAGAGCCTCCTTTCCAAAGCAACATATCCTTACATCCAAATTTTGAAGTCAAGGTACCTTTAAAATATACATTTTGGCATAACTCAACAGCTTTTACAATCAAATGTTTTTCTGCAGTTAAAAATCCCAAAGACAACACAATCCAGATTCTCTGTGCAATATTCATCTTCACGTGGCTTATTTTTATATTAATTTTACTGTCTCTTTAAAGACTTTATTTTTTAAAACTATGTATTTGTTTCTATACTGTATATATCACCTTTTTTTGTCTCTTTTAAGCCTACGTATATTTTACACACATTTTAAACTATTACATCTGAATCTGTCTTATTGTGAATCTGTTGCTTTAAGCTGCAGCAGCTGTGGCTGCTGGCTCCGCCCACCTCAGCTTCCCAACATGGCAGCATGCTTACCGCCAGCTCTGGGAGCCATCGTGGGTCTATGCTTTTATCCAAGCAGCATGTAGCCCAGAAACCTCTTTTTTTGTTGTTTTGTACTAGCAAAGGCTAAATCCACAATGCAGCTTAATGTGCCACTTGCAGAGGCCTCATTCCCGCCATACGGCAGCAGGTCGAGCACGCACGCCAGGAACCCGCCAGTAGCTCAAACCAGCAGCTGCCGCTCATTTGAGAGAGACAATTAGGAAGCTGTTTTTAGCTCCGTTTTAGAATCTCTTTTTCTCAGGTTTTAGGTGGAATCTCTTGCCACCACGTTGGACGCCATTTGTAGCTAAAGTTTTCCTGCCTGGCCCACAGTCAGGACAAATCTCTCTCACCTGCCAGTCCCAAGCCGCTCAAACCCGATCAAGTAAACACAGAGACTTACATTGGTTACAAACTGTATGGCCGTGACAGGCTTCTTGCTAACTGTTCTTACAGCTTAAATTAATCCATTTCTATTAATCTATACCTTGCCACGTGGCTTGTGGCTTATCGGTACTTTACATCTTCCTTGTCCTGATGGCCGCTGGCAGTGTCTCCTGACTCAGCCTTCCACTTCCCAGCTCTATTCTCCTCCTTGTCCCGCCTACACTTCCTGCCTGGCCACGGGCCAATCAGTGATTTATTTATTGACCAATCAGCAACACATTTGACATACAGACCATCCCACAGCACACATGTGTATGGGCACCTATGTACATAAAAGTATGTACACAAATATAACATACACACATACAGAAAAAATCATCTAGCCTTGCTTTCTCATTTCTCAGATGACAACAAGTGAGCCAATCTGGGCTCAGTCGTTTATAAGCCATTCAAGTTAGGGAAGGAGCTGGGGCTAATATCCCAACCACCAAATCTTCCTGCTTTCTACCAGGTTACAGCAATGAAATGATGAACTTGTACATTCTCAAACTCTAGGTTCCCTTTCTGTGATCCTTAGTCTTTCATATTTAACTCTTATCTAATTCAGGTCATACCAAGGGAGCATTTTGTTTTAAGAAGTTTAGAAATGTCATTGCTATGTGCTACTTGGGAGCCTCTATCAAATTATCTAGATCAATTATGAAGTGACTTAATTTCACTATAACTTAGCGCTGATAACAATGCCATTGTTCAAAATGTTAACAAGACAAATTTCAAGCATTATCACTGTCAGAAATTCTAGATGGTAGCAATTCATTGTTGGTCATGGGCAAAATAGATTTCATTTCAAATTGAGGACTAGAGGCTAAAGAGATGTTTCCATGGTTAAAAGCACTGGCAGCTATTCTGGAGGACCTGGGTTCAATTCCTAGAACCCACGTGGTGGTTCATCCTATCTGTAACTCCAGTTTCAGGGGGTACAACAGCCTCTTCTGGTCTCTGCAGGCACTGGGCATTCTCATGGTGCAGACATACATCAGGCAAAATACTCAAACATATACAAATATAAAAAACAAAATAATTTGGGGAGCAGGGTTAAACACAGGGTATTTTGCATTCTAAGAACACGTTCTACCCATGAGCCCACACTCTGAGCCAAAATAGTTGCCCTTCAAACAGGTATTTTATAAAGGTAAGGGAAATGCTGGGTCACTTTTAAATATCTGTGGCTTGGATATTGCAGCCTGGTGGAAACAAGGTGAGTCTGGAATGAGTGAGCCGTGAATCCAAAGGCAAGCTCTGCAAGGTCCCAGTACAATGACTTGGACACTTTAGCTTACCCCCACTTTCCTCATTTCATATCATAACAGTTTTGAAAATGAATTTAAACATAATTTTAGTAAAATAATGTGCCTGGTATAAATTGGGTTGCAGATGGTAAATATTTCTATAAGGTTGTGAAAGGAACTGCAAAAAGTAAGCCTTAAGTGACTGTTTCCAAGGTTGTGAAAAATAAATAAGCTAATGTGTATCCAGTCTTTGGTACAGCAAGCAGTGTCTAGGGTTCATACGCAGTAAATGCTTAATGAATAACAAGTTCTACCACCCCAATCAATGTTTGTCTTACCCAGTGTGGATTGCTACTGCACCAAGTTCTCATTTGCAGTGAGCACAGGATGGTAGTGCTATGCTATTTCCTCTAGTTTGTAGTCTCACTTGTGATTCATATACCTTTGCTTTCAGCTCCATTCTTCCAAGACTGTATGTCTGAAAATACTCTCGATGAACTGAATATTGAATTACTGCGCAATAAACTATACAAGGTAATTCTCTTCCCAGATGTATTTTTCTTGATTACACAATATAACATAACAGAGTTCTTTATTAACAAAGTTATTTTGCCCATTGGCCAGTTTCTACAATTATTAAGCAATGCATATTTGGAATATAGCTTTTATTGTTTGGGCTCATTTATAGTTATATGCATGCATGCCATTTTCTCCTATCCTTTGCTCTAAGTACAATGCTTTAATGCAAAAAGTGTTGGTTAATGATGGTAGATGGGCAGATAAATGTGTGGGAAAAACCATATCATAGGCAAACAGCATAGACAGTAGGCATTCTGTTTTATATCATCCATCTCTGCTGTAGATCTTTGTGAGAGTCCACAAAGGTTTCCTAGTGAGAGCTGAGGTTGCTTTACACAGCAAGGCTGCCTAAGATTGACCACGTGAATGATTACCAGGTGTTTGGAAGGGTCTGCACTTGGCTGTGCTAGGGGGAAGTCTTTTGCTCCACCCCTTGACATTTCTATAAATAGCCGGTTAGAAGAGACAGAAGGGGCTGGTGGGTTTTGATCCAGCCCCCCCCCCCCCAAGGCTATCCTGTGTTTCTATCTGTCTCTCTCCCCTCTATATTTCTATCTAAATATTTCTTACTTCTCCCTACTCAAGAATACCCTGGGATAAAAGTGGGAGCGGGCCCCTGACAGATCTGGTTCTAAAACTTTGAGTCTTATAATTAATCTGTCCATGCAATTTTAAGCCGGTGAGAGCATTAACAACTGGTAAATACTATGTCATATGTGCTGCTGCACATCAGATTGTCTGGATTGTGTTACCACCATTAGATTTAGGTTATGTACTATAAGGCAAGAAAATCTGCTAATGGACCCTCTCATACAATAAATTAATATACACCACTGTGGTATGTAAATAGTGTATTAAGCTCAAATACATAGTCCCCTCAAAAGCATTTCATTTATAGGCACTTTTGTTTTTATAAAGAGATACTTATAAGGAGGCATTCCTGGGATATAACAGAACATAGTGTTCTAAGCAGTTCATGGGCCTTAACTCACTCAATCTAATAGCAAAGCTGTGATTTGTATATAGTTCTTATTCCTCATATAAACCTGAAAGATGTAGAGACATGAGGCTTCCTTGACAGAAATAACTTAGTATTGAGTTAGTTAAGTATTAGAGCTGGAATACAAACCCAGGAAATCTAACCTTACAACCCAGGTTCTGCTTTTCCAATATATTCACATAGTCAAAGCCAATGTGTCTGACGAGATTTAATATTAGAGTTACTAAATCATTTGCAGAGCTCAGCAAATGACTTGGCACTCTTGTTAGAATAGCTGGAATTAACTACATAAATGCTTGTTAAGTAGTTAGACACTGTGATAAGTGCAATTTCGTTCTTTTATGGAGTTCTTTTTAGTCTGGGCCACAGGTATATTAAATCTCTATTAAATTTACTATGGAATATCCTCCTATGAGAGAAACAATTCCATTTCCATTGGAGCATTTCATAAGCTATGAAAAGATGATCTAGAAATTTCTAGAGGGAAAATTACTTATTTCCTTGTTTATAATCTCTCTTCTTTCTAAGTCTTACCTTGAGGCATTCTACAAATTCTGCAAGGATCATGGTGATGTCACAGCCGAAATTATGTGCCCCATTCTTGAGGTAAGAAGGACTCTTTGGCTCAGTCTTTGCCAAATGAGTTTACATACTTGTCCTTGCTTTGACCATGTTGTATTTCTTTATCTCAGAAGTTATCTGAAAATTCAATAAGCAACATTATTTGATGTCCTAAGAGTAGTGTTTCCTTGGAAGCTAGCTTTGTAGCTCAGTGGTTGAACACATGGTGCCTTGGATTCCATTGCTAGCCATGCAAAAATTAACCAGACAAAATAACTATAAATGTGTGGGTATGATTCATGTTGATGGATATGTAGAAAATAGGTTACATTTCACTAAATATTTTGTATACTACTAGCAACTGTAAGTTATAAATATTCTCATAATATCCATTCAAATTCCCTCCAAAGAGGGAACACTGAACAGCAGGAATCCCCTGTGGGTTGACACTACAGTCCATTATAGCTCTGTTTACAGTGACATCATCCTTATAAAAACCTAAAACAAAGGCTACTCTACCTAAGCAGTCCTCCACCATTTTAGCTTCCAGCAAAAAGAATATAGTTCAAAGCACACAAGGAGCAGGAATTTGATTATGTGTGGGACACCATGTCAGTGTCTTCTCTGGAGTTGATGTTAACACCCTTTTAAATTTTGTCTTTATCACCTCAGATGCCACCCATGCTCAGAGGTCCTCTTGACAGAAGATTGACCCATAGATGCATGGGAGATTGGGGTGGACATCAAGAGAGGCTAGGGTTCATCCCAGGGCACAGATTGCACTTAGTGTTTAGCACGTTTCTCTCAGTGGCTCTATAAGCCTCTTGAAAAATAAAAGGAATGTTCTGTAAGACTTGCTTAGGGGTGATCAAAGGACAATATACTTAAACTTTTTAAATTAGAGTGAGGCTACACATCCTACCAAGAGCCTTCAGACAAAATGAATAAAGAACATTAAAGTATAAAAAGAATTCATCTCCAAGTAGGCCGGAAATAGAAGCACGTGTTATGATAAAGACAGCTTTCGATGAGAACACTCCTTCCCGCTCAGTGCAGGTAGTGTTTCCACATGCATTGGTATGGAATGGAACGTGTGCTTACAAGCTAAGGAGTAAACGATAAGGAGTAAACTTTGTTATTACAAAGGCAAGGGATAGGAAACGAAGGGATTATTTGGATAATCCATAATAGTCAGTCAGAACCATCTCTCCCTAACCTGGCATGTGAAGTGCTTCCTGGTTCTCCCCATCTACCCGTCTATCCAATTTTCCAGTGGCTTCCCCAGGTGTGTAAATTGTAACTATCCTCCCAATGGCATGTGCTCCCTCCTGCAGCAACCTCCTCTGGCATGGTCTCTGTTGACTTGATGTCTGCAATGCTGCCTACCCTGTCATACTTCTCCTCTTAAAATTCTAACATCTTACAACTAGAAAGAATACCAAAGCACATCTGGGACAACTACCTGCATGTTGCTTATCCCACCCTAACTTTCATTTCAAGGATTCTAATTGCCATGAACAATCCCATTTGCAGTTCTTCTCTTTTCCCTGGAAGTTCTAAAATGATTTACAGGACTGATTATATGCAGGAGCCAGAATGTAACTGCCTTTGCTTCCAAATAAGGCTACCCTGCTTCTGACCGACCCATCATTTCCATGAGAGCAATCAAAAGGACCGGTGGGAATGCGTACTCTCCTGGTGATAAGAAACACCTGTTCTAACAAAAGCCTTCCAGGAGAGCTGTTGCAAGCGTGGCTTTGTCATTAGCTTGTAAGTGTGGAAAGTAACAAAGGACAGCTCAGAGCCATTCTTTGCCGCTTTCTTTTGCTGGTGGACAGCCGTGGAATCTTCTCAAAAGGCAGAGTGTGGTTCAGTAGGTTTAACTTTAGACTGTGGCCTGAGATTCTGCGTTTTTAGTAAACTTTCACTCATGTCAAAGCTACTGAGGCACAACTTCAAGTAGCATCACTGTAGAAAATACTGTAGAGAATTCAAAGGTGATGAAATCAGACAGGTTGTTCTGTTAGATTCAGTAGACAGAATGCTCCTATGTGATAGACATCGACTCCAAAAACGAACAACAACAACAAAAACCAGGACTCTTCCAATAGTTAAGAGTAGGGGATGGAAAAGTACAGGAACAGATTTTAGAATGACATAGTAAGTATGAAGTACTTCAAGGACCTGAGCATGCAGAGGTATGAAATGGAATGTGTGCTTATAAGCTAAGGAATAAACGATAAGAAATAAACTTTGTTATTACAAAGGCAAGGGATAGGAAATGAAGGGATTATTTGGATAATCCATGATAGTCAGAGCCATCTCTCTTTAATCTGGCATGTGAAGTGCTTCCTGGTTCTCCCCATCTACCCGTCTATCCAATTTTCCAGTGGTTTCCCCAGGTGTGTAAGCTGTAACCATCCTCCCAATGGCATGTGCTCCCTTCTGCAGCGACCTCCTCTGGCATGGCCTCTGCTGAGCCCACCAATACCCAGGATAAGAAGAGGAGGGGCCCTTGGGGGAGTGGAAAGGGGCCTAGGAGGAAAGATTGTAAGAACCAGTAGATAGGGAAGTGTGCAGTGAAATGCTTTCCTCTGAACATGACAGTTGTTATACACATGAACTCACCGCAGCTGTGGTTACCTACACAAGACCTGCGTGAGATCATCTCAATTTAAAATCCCAGGGTGGAGTAGAGAAGAGTACCTGAGGTCCAACCCCTAGCTGAAGAGCTATTGGTGGTTGATGTGGCTGCTGGAGAATAGAGTTACTTTTCTATAGGAGTATGGCGTTGCCACTGGTAGGTTCCCAATGCCCTGGTGGATGACCGCACATCCATTCATATATGGAAAGCACGAATTGGACTCAGCAGGTCGAAAGGTAAATGTGTATGTGTGTGTGTGTGTGTGTGTGTGTGTGTGTGTGTGTGTGTGTGTATAGATATATATTTCAGGATAAAAAGAATAGAGGAAGATGGAAGAGTTAATGTGGATATAAGAAAAACTGAGAAACAGCAGAAACATGGAGAACAAAGGAATAGGAAAGAAATCTCAAGAAAGACAGCATGATTACAGGAAACAGGACTGATGGAACAGGAGCTTAGCAGCCTATGGTGTTCAACATAGGTCATCAGTACACACTAACCTACTTAAGGATCATAAAGAATCAGGCCTTACAAATAAGATAAATCATCCCAAGCTACATGTTTCTTAGCTACAGAATCAGAGATGGTGGGTCATTAAAAAAATTCTAAACCATGAAAATAAAGATGGTCTATAGTATAAAGTTTAATTCTATAAAATGAATAGGACTAGGGATGTAGTTCAATGGTAGAGCTGGTATGACATGCATGAAGCCCTGAATTGGATGAAGGATAAAACACTGTGAAGTGGGTACTGTCAATGGGCCCTGCCAAGGTATGCCACTAAGAGAACACACCACATGCAGCAGAGTTAGTGCAAGATGTTTATTGGGAGAGGGGGGATGAGGATGGTGAAAGAGAAAAAGGCTGTCTCAGATTGCGGACATGAGAGAGACAGGCAAGCAGACAGACAGACAGACAGACAGAACAGGCAAGAGGGCAAAAGTAGAGAACTGTGACTGACACTTTTAAGGGGTGCGCAGGTTGCATCACTGAGCCAGCTTGGCAGGAACTAACATTGGCATCATCAGCCTCACAAACAGTAACAATAATACCAACATAGTGACAGGAACAATTAGAAGGGGTTACTAATATGTAGTGATGCACATTTTTGTTGTTCAAACACCCTGGCAGACATTTTTACCCGCATTGCCTTATCCCTTCCATGGCTGCACTTGAGTGGCATTATTACCACTTTTATGGAAGACACATTTATACTCTTGTGACCTACATGAGAGAGCAACATGTAACTCATTGCAGGAAGCCTGGGAAATAAAGCTTGGTAGGGTTTCAAGACCATCACAGGGCTGTGCAATTTTCCCCCAGCAAACAAATTACTCGCTTTCAAGACTACAGGGACATTAGTAACACATGCCTACACTGTAATTAGACATGGGAAGTGGATCACTTCAGAGATGCAAGTCTGCATGTAGCATGTGGTGTAAAAGATTATTAGATTTGCTGCTCTCGTGTCTTTCCCTTTCAGTTTGAGGCCGACAGACGTGCTTTAATCATCACTCTGAACTCATTTGGCACTGAATTGAGCAAAGAAGACAGAGAGACCCTCTTCCCCACCTGTGGCAAGCTCTATCCTGAGGGGCTGCGTTTGTTAGCTCAAGCTGAAGACTTTGAGCAGATGAAGAGAGTAGCAGATAATTATGGAGTAAGTGATTTCACCAGCACCCTGAGTGCCTTGCATTTCTTCAGCACAGGCCCTTTAGAAGCTCACACATCCATTCAGACACCTCATCCAAAGTGATATCCAGATGGCAGCAAGCAGTGCCTCTCGCTGTAATTATGCCTCCCAGAGAAACACTTCAAGTTTCCAGTCCAAGCTGGTGCCTTTTAAGAGTCCTGCCAAGAAAGCCCTTGTTTAAATCTCCCAGGAGTGGTTATCTGAGCACGTCTTGAAGTACCTTATAAAGCAACTTCCCCAAGAGACTGCAGCAATTTCCTGGAAGTGAGAGTTCGTGTCAAAGTTACATAAAACAGCCTGACCTCAGTGTTCCTTTCAAGTACCCACTGGGGAAACAGAGTCAGAACAGAACACAAGACTACATGAGCAGGGACTATATAAGAATATGGAATATGTGTGGGTTTTCGCAACCCCTTTGCTGAGTGGCAGAAACGGGGAGAGGAAGAGAACCGCTCACTCGCTTTCCCTCTTCCTGCTCTCCTCAGCACTATAAGACAGGCTGGAGTTCCTCACACATGCTTATTCCTCTCACCCAGACCCACTTCCTCAGCTTTGCGGGTAGTCACATGTATATCCTGCAGTTCACTTCCTCAGTTTAAGAATGACCCTGGTGTTTCCTTGTGGGTTTCTGAATCCTTCCAGTAAAACAGTCAGCAAACAGTAGACATAAACCTCCTTAGTATTTCATCTATAATTGTGGGCAACGCTTTAGTATAATGTTAAAATTGGAGCTTCTCCCGAGTTTCCACTCTTTCTGCACTTGAGATTCCATGACGTGTATCAGTTGCCATCTCAAGGAACTCACAAACCTATACTGATCAAACTGTAAGAGTTCACTAAGTTCAATGTTTTTAATGTGTGAAAATGACAATGTATATTGAGAAAAACATAGCTTTTTCCCAGTGCTTGTAGTCCATTCAGCCCACAAGTGAGAAAGTGAGAACTTTATTCACCTCTTTGGTTGTTTGGATTTAGGGAGAGGGGGAATAGGGGGTGTCAAAAAGTGAAAGCCTTGACCAAAAGCATTCAGTACAAATTTTCTTTAAAGCACACACACACACACACACACACACACACACACACACACACACACACACACAATATCTATATTGCTAAGAAAATGTATTTCTATGCATTTGTAAGAAATGAAATATCCTTTACATTTAAACTCCTGTCTTTGTTTTTTAGATTTACAAGCCTTTGTTTGAGGCTGTAGGTGGCAGTGGGGGGAAGACATTGGAAGATGTGTTCTATGAGCGAGAGGTATGGCAGAAGTGGAAATGTTATGGTTTAGATGCTTTTGTTGTTTTTATCATGGCTTTTAAATGTTTTCTCACTTGGAGTTTCTTACAATACTTCATCAGGACAATTGATGCTTTTCAGTTAACACTGTGCATTATCGCTTCCTTAGAGGGTTAGAGCCTTGCAGCTCATATATAGTTTCCCATAAATATTCCCGGACAGAATGTATGTTTAGTGGAAGCTTTAGAAGTGATTTTTTCCATAGTTAGTAGCTCCAAAAGGAAAGCAAGAATGTCCTCACAGATACTAACTCCTCTCAGTTTAGTTCCTCTCATGCCCTAATCCATGTCACCTGTAGGAAGCGTTTATATATAGTTAAAATGCAAGCACAACTATACCTACTTGGAAATTAGTCATATGGAAATGCAGAGCCTAGATTATTCCCTTTCCCTAAAAAATGCAGATTACTTAATCACTTGTAGTCAAGTCCTTAGCTACTGCACTGTTTAATAAAAAAAAAATTTATTTTTTCCCAATCGACTTGGTTTCCACAAATCTAGAGAATTTTTCTAGTATATTCACTTGAAGGCCCACCCATGTCTACCTGATTGAAATTAATAAAGACGCAGACTTCAGAGTTGGGATGTCACTGTGTGCATCTTGGGAACTTTTCTATACCTAGACTTTGGGCATTTTCCAGCAGCCCACTTTCATAGAAAGAAATAGAAACAATCCAACGTATTAGAGATCTTTAAAAACTACACAGTCTGTACCAGCACCACAAAGGGGCCATCAAGGAAGCTGCTCTTCTCAGGAAAAATGAGTGTCTGTTGTACAGAACAGGGGTGGCCTCCACTTCTCACTGTGTTGCTTAGGGTTTGCAGAGCAGCAAGATGGACCACCTACCTCTTCTGCTTTCTTTCCATCCTAATATCAAAATGGAGAAAAGTGAAAAAACTGTTCAATTTGCAACTTTATTCTGGTCTTCAGGAATTTCATTTTCTTTTGCTTACTTAATTTTGTAGAACAAAGCAATGCAGTTGCATGGACTATAGTTACAGAGCACCTAAAAATAAAGCTCACAATGTCAGACTGAATTCAGAACACTGTTACACTGCCCTGAGAAGTAGACAACCTTAAACATCTCTTCAGATTTTTTAAAGTGGTGGCCAAGAAGGAATACTTTACCTAAATTAGGTTAGCCCACCAACTGAAAGCCAGATATATAATACTGCAAAGTTAACATACATTCCCCAAACATACCTTTCTTGCTTGCAGTGCTAGGAAGCAAAGCTTATCTTGTTAGTCCATAAATTTACTTTTTAAGTTGATACCATCTACGTTTGTCCATGTGACACTTCCTTAAGATGTGTTAAGTTACCTCTGCTCCCACTATTGGTCTAACTTATACTTAAGAACAAATGAGCACCATAGAAACAGAAAACACTTCTAGCTTGTGTGTTACTTCATAAATGTAGTATGTTGTAGACCAGCTGATGGTCCATGTCATCTTCTTCCTTCCTTAGGTGCAAATGAATGTGCTGGCGTTCAACAGGCAATTCCACTATGGTGTGTTTTATGCGTATGTAAAGTTGAAGGAGCAGGAGATGAGAAATATCGTGTGGATAGCAGAATGCATCTCACAGAGACATCGAACTAAAATCAACAGTTACATTCCGATTTTATAAGCCAGGGATGAGGCCTCAAATGTAGAAACTTATGCCTGTTGAAAGGAAGTTATTGAGGGAGGAAAAGGGATTGTGTCTTACATTATCTAGATTATACAACAGTAAGTCTTACCTATCTCCTCTCCATGAATTGCACGTCCCCTGGAAGTCTAGTAAACTGAACTTAAAACAAAGTATTCTCTTTTTATTTTCAGCAAACCTTAATCATTTTTGCCCATTTATGTCTCGTTGCTCACTGACCTTACACAGTCATTTTAGTTGACCCTGTAGTATTTTCCTGCTCTCATTTAGTTATGTTAAAATTCTACCTAAATGGGTATTTCACTCTTCCTTTTTGATTCTTCTCCCCAAACTCAAACACTGAGTGCCTGATCTACTTTTTAACTGAAGGTTCCTTCCTTGTAGTCACAAAACTGCAAAGCTGTGTGTAGCCAATGTATACCACGTTTGGTGAATAACATTATCTTCTTTTCCCCCCAAGACACTTGAATTGGTAAGCCTGAGAAAGACAGAGTTCCAAGATGTTAGAGTTGCTAAATTTGCTAATAAATTAGTTTTCACAAATATATATATATAGAGAGAGAGACAGAGAGGGAGAGACAGAGAGACAGAGAGACAGAGACAGAGAGACAGAGAAAGACAGAGACACAGAGACAGAGACACAGAGAGATAAACAAAATATATGGATACCTATACCTGTGGTCTGTCACACTGTTTTCAAGAGGAAAATTCCACAAATTGTATTTTGTTCCTTCAGAAGAAAGAAGTCACAGATTTAGTATGGTTGCTTCATAAAGCCTGGAACCAGTGGAGAGGGCTGCTCAGAAAAATAAAATAGCAAAATATGTCCCCAATCTTTTCTCTAAATAGCAAGAGTGTTCTTAAATATAGTCTGTATTTGCTATGCTTCAAGAATTAAATATGCTCAGTCAACAAGACAACTCGGCCGGTAAGGGAGCTTGCTGTCTACCTACCTGAGTTCAATCCCTGGGAGCTCACATGGTAGAAGGTAACTCAGTACTACAAGATTGTCTCTAACCTTTATATATGCAACACACACACACACGAAACAATTGTAAAAATAAAATAAAAAAAAACATGCTGAGCTAATTTCAACCTTCTTTGTATAAGCATACTTAAAGTATATAAACATACTGTCTAGAATAGCATGTATAAACTAAGGAGCACAACATTTTTCTGTAGAAAAATCATTTATAAGTATAAGAAAAAATAATGATTTCTTGAACTAAGAAGAAAGCCAAGTTGCCTACTTCCTGACTACAGGTGCAATGTATCCAGCTGCTTCACGCTTATGCCACCATACCTTCTCAACCATGGTGGACTGTACTTTCAAACTGTGAGCCAAATAAACCCTTCCCTCTCTAAGTTGTTTCATTGGGTATTTTGCAACAGCAACACATTGAAGTAACTAATACAGAAAATTAATACTGAAGTGGCTATGATAAACTTTATTATGTGATTCATGGGCCTTTAAAGTTGGTTTGTGTGAGAAATAGATTTGGGAAGTTATGGATGCATCTCACAGAAACATCGAACTAAAATCAACAGTTACATCCCAATTTCATAAGCCAGTGATGAGGCGTCAAATGCAGAAACTTATGCCTGTTGAAAAGAAGTTATTAAGGGAGGAAAAGGGATTGTGTCTTACATTATCTAGATTATACAAAAGTAAGTCATATCTATCTCCTCTCCATGAGTCTCTCCTCTAGAACAGCCCCAGAATATTCTAAACAGCACTTAATAGGCCATTCTGATATGAGTTTGAAAAAACAGAATGCTAAGAGAAATCCAGACTGTAGAGTCCTCATCTCATGTGGTTTCTAATGAGTACTCGGCTAGAAGCCATTCATGTGATATTGTTTTAAGGAATCTGGCTGTATTCTGCCTGTGTCATAAAAATGTGACAGAAGCTGAATTCAAAGGGACTTGACTGTTCTCTTGGTAGGAGAAATTTCAGGAAAGTACAACATTCAGACCATGTCATGGTTACTACTCATTGCTCTTATCAAGGTCTACAATGAGAGAAAGCAACAAGAACAGAAAGACATGAAAACATGCATTCAGGGTAAAAAGGAGTATGAAAAAACTGGAAATTACAGACAAGATAGGTGTAGACAACACAGCTATATTTGCTAAAAAGAGTAGCACCATTAAAGGGAGCCCTCTTGCTCTACACTAGGACAATTAAAAAGGTGCCCTGAGGGCAAGATCCAAATGGTCAAAGGATCCCATCTGTGAAAATTAAAGTTAATTTGAAAGGAATATGTTTGCGCTGAGAATTCCAGGAGAACTGAAGGGACTCTATGCTCAAACCAATTCCCTGGGGAACTGTTTGGGTTCTCTTGTTGTTGTTTTTGGTTTTTTGTTTCTCAGGATCAATCTCAAAGGTACAGAGAGACTGGTGCAAAAGTGGGCCAGAGATTGCCAGGTAGGATACTTCATAAGCTAGAAGAAATCAGTTTGTATGCATGAAATACATAAAAGTGATAGAGCCAGGGATTCTTGCACCAATGATCTAGAAATCTACTGAGGCCAAGCAAAACTTTACAGGGATGCATTCCCCTACAAGGAGGTTCTGAGAGACAATTGTGTGAAAGGAAGGTAAAGGTGAGGTTCTAATGGGGTCACTAGGATGTTGTAGACTCGAGGATTATGGGATATCTGCTGAAGAAAGCTATAGACAGAGTGCAGCCAGTCAGAGATCATAGGTGCTGGAGACAGTGGAACGGGAGAGGCAGGGATGCCAAAAGTCATTGGAGCCCAAATTATTCTATCATCAGCCTCAGATGCTGGATATGGGGAAATAGTGGTTGGCATTTTCCCTTCTGGATTTCAGCATTTCTTTTATATCCTTCTGTTCTTCATTTTTGAAATGGAAACATTTATTCCACGCCATTAGATACTGGACATATGTAACTTGGTTATTTTATTTTGTAGGGCTTACAATTAGTAGATTGTCTTGAGTCTTGAGAAGAGAGTGAACCATAGCAAACAAGAAGACAAGAATTTATTTCCTATTCTAAGTGAAGGGGTTTGGTTGGCTGCATAGGCTTTTTATTTCCATCTTTGTGTTTGTTTTGAGACAGTCTTGATATGGCGCCATGGCTTGCCCTTGATCTCCACGCCCTTGGATCCTAGTATTCAGATTGCAAACGTATGCCACTACAACTGATATATTCTGTTTTTGAAGCTGTCACCTTTACCATTCTTCTCCCTGTGCTGCTGCCAACACTTCATTAACCTCTCAGTTTCTCTCTCTGTCATCTGCTGTACCTCACCTTGCAGTAGTGTAGTCTAGTGAATTCCACCCTCAGATTCCTTTCAATCAGCAGCCAGTCCTACCTTCTGATTCATATCTTCTGCAGACTACTCACACCCTTTTTCTCCTTGCTCCTTTTAGCATTGCCTTCATGACTTTACAAGACCTCCTTCCAACTATCTGTGGTCAGAAACCCGTTAGGACTAAAATGAGGTTTAGCAGTTGTGCATGTAAAGATATTTACTGAACATCGAAAAAGAAACACCATCATATAATGTGTTCTGGTGCTTCAGGGATGCACAACAATGAATGAGGCAGTAGAGGAGGCCTGGGAAGCTTGACTTAAGGATGGTGCTTTTGGCAATGGAGGCATTTGGTTGGCCAGTCTAAAGCAACCAGGCTAATGTGCCCCATCTCTCTGGCTGCTCAGCACAGTGGCAGTGTAAGATGACATGGAGAACAAGAGAAACCTTTGGCCAGTGGTGACCACATGCTAATCAGCTCTGAAGGCTTCTTTAATATTAACACTCGGGATTACCACTTTGAAATGTTTTAGATCCACAGAAAAGAAAGACATGGGATGCATTGGAATATAATTCGGCTGTACTTATTTGTTTGGCTTTGTTACTTTCAACCAAAACTCTCCCTATTGTGAGAATCATATTATGATTTATTTTTAGTCATTTTTTTCTCCACACACACACATTGCTAGGAAGTATATATGATCTTATCAGAGGACATCATTTTAAGTGATTTTATCCTATATACTTTACAACAGTTGAGTCCAGGACTTTTGATGTCATTTTGGATGATAACATTGTCATAAAACATATCTTCTATATACACAAAAAGAAAACACAAAATTTACACTAAGGGACAAATCTTCTTTCCTAAATCATTTCTTCTTCACATCTCATTTCATCTGGGCTCTCATTAATTATTTCTCACCTGTTTTTCTGTCCTCAGTCACCTTGTGATGTAGTTTCCAGTTTCTACCACTGACTAAGGGTTTGACTGCTAACTGAAGTCCAACCCACTAGAAAGTGGCTCAGTGAGGATGATGCCTGGATACCTACACTAGGGAAAGTGAATTGGAACTGTTTTTATAAAGGAAAGAGAATAAGTAAGAAGGTCCATGTGAGCCCACTGTGGGCACCAGTACTTTACAAAGGAGATACTCCTCAGACAATGATGAGTCTACCAGATTCACAAGTACCATTTAATACCTGTAATCACTGACCACATGGGAAGCAAAGTAGGAACTCCTCAATAATAGCTGACTTCGGCTCCTGAAAGACTAGTTGTCCTAGTGGTTAGTTACAAACTATAGCATGCATGTACCTTTCTTATAAACAATAACATGCACATGGCTTTCTTACAAACAATAGCACAGCACAAGATTTATAAGCAATAACATGACTGTAGCAGAGCCACTAATACTACTCCTAATCTTCATCAGTGAAAGTCATCATTAACGTCTATTTTGTCAGTGCTGGGAATTGATATTATATGCTAGACATATGCTCTACCACTGAGCCACACACCTTTTTTAACCTTTTGAGCAGTAATTTCACATTTTCAGTAGTTTATACTTTTCTATTTTGTAAAGGGCATGGGGTCCTCATGCTCATAGATAGCACTAGGGAAACCAGGAATGTTAAACATTTAGACTTGTCTCCGTGGAAAAGATGTGTATACCTTTTTCCACCTAGAAGGCTGGGAGTGGATGTAGTTAATAGGTAATCTGCTATATGTAGGGCCAGGCCACACCAAAATTCAGAAACTATTAAGTTTATCCCATACCTTTATCTTGAGCATTGCTTCTCAGTCAATAGAGCCCAAGCTTAGGGGAGATGTCACATGTACTTTGTAGCTTGGTGAACTCTACCTCTATACTATCTGTATGACTGAGACCACACAACATCCTAGGTCCTTAAGCTATAGAACTCATCTTTATGGAAGAGATCACATGTGCTTTGCAAAAGAGTTTTGATATAGTCATGCCTCAAACTTTCTTGTGCACATGGGGTTGGGATAATTGTCACTAGGAAGCTTTTCTCCAAAATTGTGCTGTACTTCAACATGGCTAAAATAAACTGCCTGGCCTCAGACTCTAGAAGTTAGAACCAACAAGGGCTAACTAAGTAGTATTGAACTGGATTCCCTTCTTGCCTCTTGCAGATCGTTACGCTGTCGGCCATGGTGTTTGCAGAGACCCCCCCCC